CACCCAAACAATCAACGATAACCCTCCCTCTCTTAAGGCAGTAACTTCAACCACATCTGAAAAGTACATTTTGCCATGAAATGAACTTTTCATATTCACAGGTCCCTGGGGCTCAAGTAGGGATGCCTTTGGGGGCCCATTCTGCCTTACACAGGGACAGACTGACCTTCAACCCTGGGCTGGTCTATCACTGCCCCAGTCCCTTTGGAGCCTGCCATTCCAGGATGCCAGGAAGCTGAATCTGGGCACCCGGGCAAGGCCTCCCCAATTCCCTGGAATCACACTTCTGAGCCCACACAGTGGGCAGGGCGTAAGCCAGTACAGTTGCCATCCTCTGCCTCTGGCCTCCCCCATTTGCTATCTGGTTTTTTCTCATTGCCTCACACAGGCCACGTAACCAGGCCAGCCACTGGGGCAGGTCTTCTGGGCTCCCAGGCCGCAGGCCACAGCAGAATGGCCAGGAGGCTGCAGGCTGAGGCGGGCCCCACACTGTGTCCAGGGGCCAGCAGGCCTTGCACCTGGCTGTCAATCCCTGAGGACATTCCAGAACCCAGAGCCCGCAGAGGTCTCCAGAGTGAGACGGAGGAGGGCCCCCTCCCCTCCCACCACTGTCCAAGCCGGCCTGGGCCAGGCTGCTCCATGACCCCCTCTGGAGGCCTGCACACCCTCCTCCATGATATATCCCCAGGGCTCACTCACACGGGGTGCTTTCATCTGCAGCCAGGCACTCCAGACAACAAAACAGGCCAGTGTGGGGCTTCAGCGGCAAAACAGAAAGCGGCCCCAACCGCACTGATACACTCAGAAGTTCCAGCCAGCTGTATGAAGCACAAGGCATCCGTGCACCCCAGAAGGGGCCTCAGAGACCATCCAGCCGGGGTTGCACCCTGCACTACCTCCATCAGAGACCACAGAGCTTGACAAACATGCAAACGCCAGGCTGTACCCCCAACCTACAGGACCTCCTGAGAGCAGGACTGAGCACTGCATGTCTATGCAACTCAAGTAATTCTGATACAGTGAAAACTGGAGACTAACCTTGGCCCCCGCCCCCGCCATTTACACAGGAGGAGACTGAGGCCCGGACTTATCCAAGGACACAAAGCAAACTAGTGACAGTCAGGACTCAACCCTGTTCTTCTGTCTTTATCCAACAGCTCCCACATTAGGCAATGTGGATCCGGGTGGCCCCAAACCCATGAGTTCGGAAAACACTTAACTTTCCTGGCACCTCTTAGTAAATAAATTAACATACACCGGCTCTGCTGTGTCTGGTAAGCGTTCAGAGAATGTCCCACCCCAACGGAATTCTCATCTCACCCCTGGAATCAGGAAATGAATCCCACAAATCACCGTTCTCCCTGTTAGTGCTTGTTTTGCGACGGGACGCATGGTTAAAGCAAGCAGAACAAACAGGAGAACTGACTGCACAGACGCCAATTCTCCCAACACGCAGCAGCCCTGTGTGCAATCCCTGAGCTGCCTTCGTCTACCTGAGTCCCTCTCTCCGAGGCTGCTCGCCTGGAAATTTGCAGGACACAGATGGCGTTCAGGAAGTGTAGGAAGATAGGAGAGCAAAGCTGACCCCATTTTCCTGGTCTCCAAGCATCATCCTGCTTCTCAACCCTGCCTATCTGCCAGAGAGGGTTTCCTCATTCTTCAACTTCCCAGATGAAGACTGTCCCAGCTCCTCTTTGCGTTCTAATAAGTATATATCTAACATAATACTAAGTCCTATTTTTGGTGGCACGTATCCTTTAATTCACCTCTTCCTCCATTCCCGTGGGCAGTATCCAAGTCCGTTGTTCAGTGCCCCAGGCCAGATTCTTGGAACACTTACTCAGCAGGTCTCCCTCTGTGACCTACCATCCACACTTCATGGGAAGCTGCCAGCTTCCTCCCTGAAACACCCATTTATAGTGTTGTTCTCCTACTGAGGAACCCACAGTGCTTATCAATCCCACATAAACCCAGCCCCACCGCACAGGACTCAGGTTCAAGTACTCACCCATGCTTTGTTCTCCTGGCTCACCGATGGGCAACGATGGTAAAGCACACTCTTCATTGCCCCCTGCCCAGCATTTATAAGCTCTTTATAACCAGTGACTCTTGTAATCTGTGAATTTTCCATCCTCCACAGAAGCAACAGAGTACAAGAAGGACATAACCTTCTCAACCCTTGTTGCATGACTAACCTTGTATAGGGGGCTTTCGTGGCATTGGCAAAAAGTGCTTCTTTCTGAGAACTTTTTGTTCTCAACCTAATCATTTGTTTAACTTAAATCTGGGACACTAACAAAGCACTATTAGCCTCTCCTGGCAGTGTAAGTTGAGCTTGGTAAGGTGGTAACTTTTCTTGGACATTAGCCATGCTATACAATCAAACTCTCCAGCTGGGCGTAGCAGCTGGGGCACATTTGGAAACCAANAGGCTTCCCAATCTCTCAAGCCAGCGAGTGACACTGAGCAAGTTATTAAACTCTCAGGGCCTCAGGTTCTCCATCTGTAAAACAACAAGAATATCCACACCTCAGAGCCACGGAAAGAATTAAATGAAACAGTTGTGCGTACAGCTCTAACGGAGTCACGGCAGATGTTCTACCAACACGAGGGTCTCTTCCCACTCTGATTCCTGTTATTCAGCCACTGTGGCTTTTCCAAATCTTAATTTTCATAACTCCCCGGAAAATATTGGAGATTCTGGATGGTTCTGTTCAGGGTCACACAACTCACAGAACTGCCTGCTCATTCACAGAGTTGCCTAAAACTGAAATACTGCAGGATGCCCTCCGCCCCCAAGTATGTGCAAAGGGGCTGCTGACATGGAGTCACACACTCAAGGGTTCTGTGTCCTCATCTCACTCCTTTCTCACTGCCTCACTGCAAACTTCCATGAACTATTTAACCAAACAGTGGTGATTCCTCCCACGCTTAGAGCTGTGTAAGGTGCCACCAGCACGTATCTCCTTTCAAGGAAGGCCATTACAAGGCCAGAGAATTTGGCCACAATCCGCCTCACTCCTCAATCTTGCAATACTAGGACCACAGCCCTTTGCAATTTGAGCAAAGAACATTTGGAAGAATTAAGGGAACGTCCACATTCACAAGGAGTGCAAGAAACTGAATGGAAGTCATTTCCCAAAAACAGGGCTGGCAGAAACTGGGGATGGATTTGAGAAGGGTGTAAAAAATGGATGGAAGACACAGCACCCCCAGCTGCCAGGTGCTGCTGGCTTTTTGGGGGTGGGAGTGGGGGAGGCACCAGGGTCTGCAGACCCAAGGTTCCCCAGCAGAGGCTCTGCCATCCTGTCCCAACTGAGCAAAGAATTCAAGGGACCCATAGAAAGCAGGCGATGGGGAGGGAGCCGAAAGGGGACACGCTTGGTAACGGCTCACTGCTGTGCTTTCCCCAGTCCATTGTGCCAAAACACACCAGCCATTTACTCCGCCAAATCGGAAATTCACTCTCAAGAAAACGCCCTGTAGGAAGATTGAAAAGTAGGCACAGAAGTAAGAGTGTCCGGCAGAAAGATCCTTTACTCAGCAAATTTCAAACTTGGGGCAGAGGGACCCAGCTCCCCAAGCAGCTTCCCAACTGCACAGCTGTCTCCCCAAGGGAAATGCTGGTCAGGTTTCAGTCCTGGGGAGCTCAGAGGGGCCGCGGGGTGCGCAGTGCAGTTTCAAAGAAGGCGGGGCGGAGGGGGGAGCAATAGGTAGGTTCTCAGGGCTCCCTCATCCCAGACACACAGACTGGGAAGGCAGCTGTCCCCTCGGACCCAGCAGGCCACCGCGGAGAGAGGCGCTCGGCCCCGGGCGCTCCCTCGGGACTCCCAGCGCCGAAACTTACTTACCTGGTGGAGGCGTCTCCGGAGCCAGCTTTTCCCTCTTGGGAGCTTTCTTGGGCTTGGTCACCTTCTTGGGCGGCCTGGGCTCTGGCGGGCGCGCATCCCGCTCCTCCTCCTGGTCCCCC